GATATGCGCTATACAAATGCTATCTATTATTATTATTATTATTATTATTATTTGTTTGTTTGTTTTTGTGTGAGCCATGGTCTTAACATGTAAAGACGTGTCGAGTAAGGCCCTGCGCACAAAAGGAACATTCCCGCTTGTTTCACTGTTGTGAGCAGCCAAATTAGGCAATCTTTGTTCGCCCACCTCTCACCGCCGTGTGACGCTTTCATACCTTGCAGCCGTCGGCACGGTCATGAAAGTCAACGTTATTGTTTACCTCCCTTTAATTCCACCTTCTTTTGTGAATAACGCAAAATCAGGCTGGTCTATGATTTTGAAAGAATCCTCATTTCACACATGCGTATCAGCATTCCTGTTTTCACGTAACTATTACTGCAATCATTACTAGCTAACTTACCTAATTCTATTCTTCACAAATTTCAGCGTTTTAAGAATCATACTGCTAGGCTCATGCTTAATAATGCGTATACTTACATAAAAGTGTGTGGCGCGCGCGCGCGCGCGCGCGTGTGTGTGTGTGTGTGTGTGTGTGTGTGTGTGCGCTACATCTTCAGTGTGTCTGTATGATATGTGTAAATATTAATTCTTTTCACTTTCATTGGACTTGGGATGGATTAAGGTAGATCGCCTAGTGCTCAGTGCGCACGAGGGTATTTAATGCTCTATCATAATGTAACAAGCCACCTGACCTCATTTGAGTATCTAATACAATCCAGGATCGGTTCACTCTAGGCGATCGTTACCGCAACGAAATAAACTTACACATAGCAATAAAGCACCATGGCGTTGTTGTTGTTTTTTTTGGGTTTTTTTTTTTTTGGTTGTTGCTTTTATTATTGCTATTATTTTTTAAACAAAGAACTAGAAGAACAAGCTCAGAACACTGTTGTATTATAGAAATTCACACGGAAACACCGCTTTATTTCCTCACGGCCCCATCAGTCACCCATTGTCCCTGGGATTTCTCCTGTCATGGTGAGCAAATAGACTGTGGTTGTACAGTCTGCCTGTCCCTGCGATACATGGTGTATGGAGGTGCTTGGTTCGTCACCCCAAACTTGTTGGGTAACTTGCTCGGCACCCAAGGCGGGCGTTGGTGTTCAAATCTCTTCCGGCTTCCTGAGAGATTTAGGAAAAAAGATACTTTATTGAATATATTAAAGGGGTTTTTATTTAACGACCGAATCTATGCACTTGAGACTATGAGCTGAAATATTTAAGGACATAGCGGCCACCGACTATTATGTCCAATCAGAAATAGATCAAAGTCAACGTTGCGGCAAATTTCGAGCCAACACAAACACGAATTTCCATACTGCATAGTGTACATGCCATTGCCTGCCTTTTTAAGTTTCAGATAAAGAAATTAAAACTGAAAATCTATATAAATACGGTAGTTATGTTTCGTTTTTAAAGTATCCCAAAAACCACGCAACTTCAAGCGTTGTCGAATGACAATGATGTGCGCCCACCATGAATCACCAGCAAAATCTTGAGTGACTTGATTCTGTGTTTCATAAACCTTAAGAGAAATGTTGCTTTCCAACTCATTAACGGTTTGTTAGCGAATTGTTTGTCACTCGAAACTAGATCGATACATTGCAAACAGCCTGATCCCCCAAGGCAGGCCAGTGTATGGGCACCTGTATACATGTAAAACTTTCGTCTTGGCTTCAAATCTCGGAGAGGCAGCTTGATTAGGAAAAAATAGTATGCTAAGTAATCAAGGGCCATTTGAATGATGAGGTTCAGCATTTGACGAATAGTTTATTATTGATGTTATTAAGAGTTATACCTCACTTGCAACACAATTAATAGGTCATCCAAGTGTCGAAGATTAGAGGTGTTACTTGAGAGTAACATACAATGAAAAGAAGGAGGAGAGAAAAGGATGAAAGATATTTGATGGGGGTGAAAGGAGCAAACCATACCAGGGCGCCTGCCAACCACTCAATTTATAAGTAGGCAGACTGGCAAACTGACTGGCAGACTGACAATCCGACAGAGACACTGACAGACACAGGAACAAGCTGCTGTGTCTACAAAAAAGTATGCAGTAACATCGATGAATACCTGATCTATCCCCTTTGTCAGGCCAGAAATCTCGGCTGATCTCGCAGTCTTCTTCATGTTTTTCATCAGGAAGACTCGGCGTAGAATTGGCTGGTATATGGAGGTACATTGGCCAACAAAGATCTAAAGAAATAAGAATAGAACAATAGACTATGTTGGCCTTTTTTTGCACGTTACTAGCAATGTGATAATAACGGGAAGGATTTAAATTAAACTAGGTATACGAGATGTGCGAGATATAGGTAGCTTTTCTATGGTCCTGAACAAATCTTGGGGGTAAGTGAGAGTTGAGATAGATTACTGGGCTTCCTTGAACCCAATAAAGGACATGAAGAAAATAAGTTATTCTACATTTCATTAATCAACTTACTTGCTCATCCCCTCCTTCTATTCTGTTCACCACTCCTTATTTTATGTTTCTTTTTTCATCATTCAGTTCATTGCTACATCAAATTATTCACCCTGCCACGATTGTATCATTTCATTTAAATTATCTTTCTGAATTCCTGTGATATGCGTTTCTCTTTGATGATTTCGATAACATTGTTTCTTATGTGTGCGCGCGTGTGTGTGTGTATGTGTGAGTGTGCGTATGTGTGTGTATGTGTGTGTGTGTG